ATATTTGACAAGCGGTAAAAAATTTATAGGAGGATAAAAATGAAAAGAGGCGGAAGTTGAATAAAGTTCGGCTGTGATGGAGAGATAGCGGGATCGGAAGTCAGCAATGACATATCCGAAATTTATTACATTTATTATATTTGTATAATTATATTACATAGTTATGGTGAAGTTTAGTTAGTTATTTTAGTATCTTTGATGCAAAAAAGAAAAAGGCGATGAATGTGGAGCTCCAGTACAGCTGCCGACAGGTGGACCGAGTCAGACCAAGCTGCAGTTTGACAGAGGAGCTCAAACGCAGAGATGGAGGAAAAACAGTCGGAGACAGAGTGAGGACTTTGATGAGGAAGTAGCTGATTCACTATTTCGATTATAAGAGGCAAGAGAAGAAGATCGAGCACCGAGTGGACTCTACGGTCTCTTTATTGGTCTGCCGGGGCAGACGGTGCGATGCTAACTGGATGCTAACTACACCAAACAGCTGATGAAAGCACGTAAACAACGGGAGGTGTAGAACTTTTTATTCAGCGGGTGGATCCACAACCTCGGTACCAAACAGCTCCACGATGATTGTTTGTTTTTTGCCAGGGTGAGTGTTTTTTCTGATATGGTTTTATACAGTATGTTTCGATCATGCTAACAGTAGCCGCTAACATCAACACACATCCAGCACCTAACGACACAGAACTAGGGCAGCCTAAAGTCCAGATGAGGTCCACATTAAACTACCAGTAACTTAATACTACTAAATAAAGGATCATTATAAACATAAGGTGTAAAACAAGTTAGCAGCTAACATACCTCTGATGTTGCAGACACCGGCATTCTGCTTCTCCCGACCGCAGATGGTTTAAAATCCACTTTTTATGTTGTTGTTCTGTGAGCTTTCTACATTTTTCATCTTTGTGTATGATAATCAGTGTTATCATATGTTGTCAAAGGGTTGGGCAGAATCGTGTGGAATTATTCATCAGATGAACTTTTGCTGGTTATTATTTGGCACATGTGTGGTACCGACAGCCTCAGAAAATCTTTAGGTTCTGTCGAAAAATTATTCATCTTCATCATACGAGTCATGTCTGACATATTTGTTAACCAATTGTTGTTAAATATCTTGAAATAGGATCTAAATCCATACATTATAGACTCTCTACAGTAGTCTCCTCTATAGACATTTTACCCCCTGCCCTCAGTGGAGATCATTCCGCCTTCGAAACCACGTGACAGAAACCCAGCTATGGAGACGATTGAAGAGAATAGAGAAACCAGCTCTCAGCTGTATGTTTGAGATTTTAGGACTGAAGAATAGTTCCTATCAGTTTAAACGAATTATGAGTTCACTACGAATAAACTACATTTGTGCATTTAATTACTCACCACTCACTTTATTGCATGTTTATGCTGAAGTCATTACAGGTGGTGCAGAATTTGTAGCAGAGTGGTTCTACAACTAGGCCTGTCGCGATAGACAATAAATCAATTAATTGCACAATAATTTTTTTTGAGGTCGGTAAAAAAAAGAGGACGATAAGTTTCATTTTCCTGCTTGTTTGTTTACTTCGTATGGAAGCATTTAAGTAATAAAACCCTAATTAAAATGGATTAATAGAAATGCTGTTTCATTTTCAACATGTACCTTAATTT